AGTGTGCAGGAAAGGCTGAAAGCCTATTATTTCTTTTTAGAGATATCTTCTGTAATAATTAATTTGAAGCCGTTATAATGTCGGTCGAGTTGACGGTGATCAAGCCATGCATATACTGTACATTGCCCGATAATGCCACCAATTACAATAAAGGATCGCGTGTCCCTGCTGTTTAGCTTCCCGTTCAGACTAAATATCGAACAAATTTGTTTTAACCCGCACCCCATCCCCCCTTCTCCCCCACCCCTTCTCCCCACCACTCTCCCCCTCCTTCCCTCATTCAGGCTCCCACCCTTCCTACCAACTTGCCCGCCCTCCCAAAATGAGTCAAGCAGTCTGTCTGTCTGTCAAACTTGTACACCATAATTTGATAAAATAATATTTTCGATATCAATTTATGGTCACCGTCACTGATACATGTACCCGCAATTGACGGTCATCGTCATTTAAACATGTACTATCAATTAACGGTCATCGTCACTTATACACGTACTTAATACATACTCGATAAAACAATCCACAAAAAAACCCTTGAGGTCCCACTCTATTTATATCCATGGATCTTTGTGAGTTATTAATAAGCATGTTCCCTTTTGCACGAAATCTGATCTGAACTGTATATACTGTGAATCTAAGAACCACTCTTTGACTAGCAATACATTAAGCCTCGGTCACAAATGCCATTACGAACTGCTACGAACGCCGTACGAACGATTTTCAGACAATGGAAATTAGGGAAGACAATGGAAAAACAGGGAGATTCGTACGAAATTATCGTTCGTACGAACCTTTGTGACCGTAGCATATATTGATTGAAAATAATTATTAAAATGCAGCAGCGTTAGGCAGTCTTAAATCACGTTAGTACGAGTCTCTGTCGTCGGTTAGGAAAAGACATCGAGTCATCGTAATATATGTAAGGTTATACATTAAAAAATACATGTAGTCGATAAAAATCACCGAAATTCATTGTCGTCTACAGAAATTGTCAATAACACCCCTTGTATAGGTAAGATGAAATTCAATTACCATTTCAAAAGGTAAACTCAATAAAATGAAGAAAGGTAAGTTGAACAGCAAAATAAGGTGACAACTTTTAGAAGTCTTAAAAGAAAATAGAAGGACAGAACACAGTCGCGATTAAATGATATAACGCAGCATTTGTTTGTTGAATATTATTCTTTTATACCAAAGGTAAAGCAAGATTCATGTTTAAAATCATTCTTACACTCTTTTCTTTCAGGACAGATATATAAATCTATTTGTGCACACAAATCACACAGTTATTTTGCCAAAATCACGTTTTGCAAGTAGTTATCTTTCATAAAGTACATAATGATATTATTATCTATATTCCAGGCATAAATAAAAATGCCGTTCAAACACAATTTAAACATTATCTTTTACGTTGTGATAATAAGAGGGAAGAGGGAAGAGGGAGGGAGAGAGAGAGAGAGAGAGAGAGAGAGAGAGAGAGAGAGAGAGAGAGAGAGAGAGAGTGGGGCAGACAGAGGGGGCAATTCTTGATTTAAAATGTCCTGTTTAAAAATGAAGTGAAAAACCCAAGCGTAAGTAAATACATTTGAAAAGGAAAAAGACAAACATATATACTGGACTGAATGGAATAAAAATGTTTGCAACCCCCCTCTCCCTTTGAAGAAAACTATAGCACCAATGAAAACGCTTTTATTAGAAGTCTGGAAAGACATTAAGCTTAACCAACTGCAGGCATATTAGGAGGTCGGCAGTCGCTCAGGACGCCATTAACCACATGGATGGCGTTGTCGAGATTCTAAGGCCATCCCGCTCGTCTTTCGCATCGATGGTCGTCCAAGACATCATCACCTAAGTCATGCACGGCGACGTCGTGATCATGGTGTTGTTGCTGCTGATGTTGATGTTGTTGGTGATAGTGACGATGAGTACGACGACGATGATGATGATGATGATCACCTGTGGTCGACTGCGAGTCTGCGACATCATTACCTAATCCTACCCTGGGCCCACACGCCGTTCGCACCCGTGATCGACCGTGCGTGGCTACCTTGTTCCGCGCGCTTATGTCGTGGTCGTTTAAATATACCACAAGTCTTTTTGTATATGTGATCGGCTGGGACATCATTATCTGATCCTACGCGGGGATATGGTGGTCGTATGGAAATCCCACACGTCTTTCGCGTCGGTGAAGGCGACCGTCAATCGTTCGGCCGTCGCCTCGGCGTATAAGAAGCCGCCTTTCCGTTGAATGTTGCCCATGTGGAAGTGTTGCCATTCGGGTGGGACAGAGAAACGATAGGTCCGACCCGGGTCGATCTTCGATCCAGCACCGCTGATGAAATACTCTACCGGCGATCCTGGCTCGTGGATATGCTGTATGAAAGAAAACAATTATTGTTAGTCAAGTTTATTACTTTTCTAACCAAAGGTTTTAACCCTTCCAACAAACTTGTGAATTCCTTAACTTTAAAGACTTTTATTTTCCACACTGAGATGTCGCCCCCATTGAACAGAGTGGATACATTCAAAGAGGGAACTCTTGCTCATTTTTTTTTTTATCTCTTTACTCTAGTATAATAATTTCCATTAAATTATTGTTATGCTATCCTTCTCTTTGTGATTATCAGTTCAATCATTTCTCATGTTCTGTTATCTGTATGATTTGGGTGTTATTGTAATGAAAAAAGCGTATGTGTAGGCATGAAAAGACTGGTATAAAAAAATCGTTACCTGTAGGTTGTGGTCGTGGCCAGCAAAGTATGCAGAGACGTTATATTGCTTGAGGAGCGGTTCCAGTCTCTCTACTAGACACCGGGTTGGACCATGTGAACCCATCGATCTCACGGGATAGTGGCCTGCTACTATCACATAGTTCGCTCTGTAAGAAGAAACAGAAATTTCCATTAATATTTCAATACTTGAGTGGATCAATACACTATGTATGCCGCTGTTCTACCGGTATATCCCGTTGTATATAACTGCCTGTAACATTATTGGTAGGTGATTCGCACATCTGAATATGACAGGATTGTTCTACACTGTTATTTTTAAGTTTGAGTCAAGACCAATACGATTTTTTGACAATTCTATAGTCAATACGTTGTGTTTCATAGTCTAATCAGGGAGATGTTTCATATCCCTGGTCTAATACCTATTATCCATAAAGATTTCGATGTAAAATAAAAGTCTAAACTGCCCTAACGAATGGATGTAACGATTCATTCAGTGTAATGTTCCTTGTTTAGGTATTAAATTACGGTCAGATGAGAATCCAGGGGCCCGCCTTAGGGTCCTCAACTCAAGATTGAAATGTTGGTACACTATTGATTGTCCATATCAAACATGTTCGGATTATTCAAGATGTCATCGTCATCTACCATACACTCAAAAGGTAGAGAGAAAAAAAAAGACTTTTGAAATTGCATAAAGTTGATATCTCGAAAACTTTATTGTGTTTTAAAAGTATTTTCTTCTGTTGATAAATCAAAAACGAAGTGGATTTTCCTTACTCTTTGGTTGCGTTAAGCTGATGTTCCAGCCAGATCCATTGGTCCTCGGCAGCCGAGACATTCCATGGGCCCGTAGGGGGCGTCCCCATGCCACATAGTAGCATGGTATCTATCACTACCATGAAGAGCTTGGCATCGGGACTGTCAGATATCCGGAATTCCTTGGTGTAATACAAGCTCGGGAAATGCCTGTAAAGGATCGATTGTTTTTTTGTTTTTTTTAAATATTTGATTGATTGATTAATTTAGAAAACCCACTGATTATCGATTAATTACAGGACAAAAGGTGAATGGGACGATTTTAACAAATAAATGTTGATAATAGTTCACATTGATTAAAGGGGCACGTTCCCGCCAGTGTAGTTATCAGAACATGCCATCTTCGTAAGAGCCGTATTCTGTTGGTGTCAATATGCAGCTATAGCACCGTCCGCTAACGCGTACGTATTTTGAACGCCCTCTGGAATACGGGGAACATGCCCCTTTAACAAACAGACAACGATTTATTCGAACTATATCTATTCATTGATTACTTATTCACACGAATTACGAGAGAGAATTGGTTACGAGCCAATTGATGGTGTCTAGCAAACACTATTAAAAAACCACCAAAACAAATTTAGGAAATAAATGTACATGTACTTCCCCAAAACGTAATTTGTATTTTTATGACTGCTGCACTTTTCCATTATAGTACAATGAACTTCATTGTATAATAGCCTATACCACTCATAGCAGGAAAGAGTGTGGGCTGTGATAGAAACATGAATCTGATAATGGAATATCACTTACTCGCCATAATTGATATACATGGATTATTATAGGAGGATCAAGGAGACCAAAAATGCCCCCTCCCCAACAAATCTATTCCTAAAAATATTTTATAGGGCAAAAACGTATATCAAAACTGAATTAATTTATTGATATGAATGGATAGAGGCTATGCATGACATGAGTCTGTAAGAATCCACGGGACTGTGAAGTGGCCCTCCTATCAAGATAAACATTCTGTTAAGCAAACTAATGAAATTTCAGCCCCCCCCCCCTTCCCCCATTTAAAAAAAAGACTTTTGTGAGGGCCGCTTGGGATTTCCTCGGGAAACTTAATTCTAGTGGTAATTTTTTCTCTTCTGCTTCTTCTTAATACCCCTCCTCCCCCCCCCCCCATTTTCCATTACCCCCCCCCCCCCCACCCCCTCGCGGAAACCCTTTGGGATCATGTTCCTCAGGTGAAATCGATATCGATAGAATTAGCGCCCCTTTCTCGCTATTCAATATCCGCTATTTGGTATATCAATCTGAATTTTCTGGAGGCCAACTATATGTTAATCGCACGTGCGGTATTAATCAGGACGTCCATGTAATATCCTCTACCGTTTATCTAATGGATAACTTCTACCGGTGTCGACTTTATTAATTAGTGAAAATATTGACAGTTAACAATACACACAACAAATTGAAAGGAGTTTTTGATTGTGACGTTGATTATTACGATAGCCGTATAGTGCGAGTGAAGAAAATGATTTCTCGAGGGTGATGATAATTATAATTGTCATAATCATTTCTAAAGCACAGACTGACATCCGTGTAGGCCAACTGTGCACTACTCCCAAGTTATGTGACAAGCAAAGCAAGGTCATCATTTCAAATAGCGTCATATTTTTGGGCTTATATTTGACGTTCATAAGGGGGCACGGAACGGTTGTGCTAGCCCCCCCCCCCCCCCCTCGTAAATCCGCAATTTTGTGTCTGCTTATTGAAATCTTCATCTTACTTTTACACTTCGTAAATCCATATTACAAAAAATTGAGAAAATTAATCTGCTTTCAATTCTCACCATCTTTCTGATATTTTAGAGTATTCTATCTGTGCTGTGATGTTTCCGTCCCAGTCGTGATTACCAGGAACGATATACCAAGGGACCTGTAAGGACTCGGCTGTGTAGACATCTTCAAATGTTTGCTGTCAAGATATAAAATGAAATAAGAGTTGTTGTATTACACAATTAAAGCTTGAAAAAGCTGTATTAGTCGTCTTGTATTCTACCATCTTCTTCGTTAAAAAAAAGAAATGAGCGGTCTTTCATCACACCGTAAAATAATAATAATAATTATAATGCAGAAATATAATGCGCAACATATCCACCCATGATTTTTTTTTCTTTTTTAAATCTTTATAAAGTTTTAATGGTGAGAAAACACAATGATTTACAGAATATGAGTTACATTTTTTCCAGAAAAAATAAATGAATAATCATATTGTTTTACACTTACAATCATGTTGTTTCACATTTCAGTGTAACATTAAACAAAATATAGCATGATTCTTCTATATACCCCGGCCGCACAGACGATACGACCATCAAATCGACACAAAATGGTTAGAGAGAGGCTAAGAAGTAAAGAACATTGATAGCCCCCCCCCCCCACCACCATCGGTCCGTAGTCGGCTCGGCGGCCGGGACATAACGCACGATATACTCTGACCTTTTCTATTACACAAGAGAACATCAAATACACCACAACATGAAAAATAAAATTGTGTAACAAAAACAAACAAATCTATCCCTTGAAACGTTTTGTACATATACATTTTATCATTACGCAACGCAGAAATACTGGTTGATGTTTTGCCATTTCGCCATATGCTTCTCAAATTTATTTTTCTTTTTTTGCAATATCTTCTGCGGTGGATTTATAAGACAAAATATAATTACTAAATTGTTTCAAACTAGGCGTATATAATCTCTTGATGTTTACAACGTAAAATGAACTGTTTACCGAGTAAAGTAAGAAATTTAAAAGCTAATGTGGTTTGACTTCTTGGTTCAGTAATTCCATATGGTAATTCTATAATGTGCTCAATCCCATATGGTGCTTAAGGCGCTTACGATAAACAGATTTTATTTTATTTGATTTTATTTTCTTCTGCATTCATATAAGCATACAGTTTTTGGATAACAATAATAATATAAAGTACAATAACTATTTTTCTGACAATGAATAATAAATAAGCAAATACATATAAATATAAATTGTTATTTTCAAAAACGAAATGATAAACTGTCATAAATACTAAATTTCCTCAAACATTATAAAACATTATAAAATTATTTGCGGAAGAAGGACTGTCATTGTAAGCAGATTACTTGATAATACGACAACCCCAGACAAAACTCATGAAATATATCAACAGATTAAATGTAATGGCAAAAATACTCTGAAAGTACTTACAATAAAACAATCAGAGAGGGGAGAGGGGCCTGTGAGAAATATGTTGTATTTGTGGAGTCATTTTGTTTGTTTCTAAATATATATAAAAAAATACAGATAATTTTTATGTCCAAAAGACCTTGGATGTTTATCTCGTCAAAATCTCCAAAATGATTCTCTACAACGTGTATGGAGGAGACAAGCATAATGACATACATTTTATTTCAATATCTCTTTCCGCATAGAAGACAAATATCACAGGTCAGGACCCCGTTTCACAAAACTTTCATCAGTGGAAAATGATATTTTTTGTTATAAGCTACTGAAATCCTTGCTTTCGATTGGTTATCAGCAGATTTGTCACCGATTTTTGTCATTTGTCATTGTAAAAAGGCTTTGTGAAGCAGGCCCCAGGGGTGAGTCGTTGATTATTCCATCGAATACCAACTATATACTTACTCGAAATCGTGGATCATGGACGTCTTTCACTCCGTTTTCGTAGAAATTATCGCCGAGTTCGACGATGAAGTCGGCTTTGAAGTTATCTGCGACCTTGCCTGCAGCCCAAGCAACGTCCTCTTGATCGTCCGTGGTATAAGGGGGTTCACCAAGGCCTCCTATGTCACCCAGGACTAGGAAACGAACCTCAGATCCAACTGAGTGGAAGAAAGACGTTATCGTGATCATTATCAATGTTATGAATATGCAAATACATTGCACCTTTAATACTTATGTTTTCTGCTTGAGATCAGAGCTCGTAGTATTTTGACTTTGTGCTCATTGCTACTATTTGTTTAAAGAATATATTCGTTTAAGTTGATTAGTGATGTTATGTTGACTACAAAGTTTCTTTGATTATTTGAGTTAATAATATTTCTTTACTATATTAATGTATGACGTAATATACTCCTCTAACCAACCTAAGCTAAGCTATTATGCATATGATATAATAATAACAACAATATTAATAATGACAATAACAATAAAGATAATAATAATGATTATAATGATGATAATAATAATAATAATAATAATAATAATAATAATAGTAACGATAATTATAGTAATCATGATAGTAGTAGTATCAATAATGATGAGAAGAATGACAAGAAGAAGAAGAAGAAGAAGAAGAAGAAGAAGAAGAAGAAGAAGAAGAAGAAGAAGAAGAAGAAGAAGAAGACGAAGAAGAAGAGAGAAGAATTGCAATGATAATAATATCAATAATAATAACAATAATAATGATTATAGTGTATATTAATATTTTAAGCCTTCTCCGTCTCCCCCATTATATTGGCCACTGTTATTTATGTTTATTCGTTGTTGTTTATTTGTTTATCTATTCTTTTTTATCAATCAAGAGCGAGTCAGTTTGATAAGAGGCCGGGATAATCCTGTTTTATCTGCGCTATATATACCGGTTGGTATAAGCAGGAGGAGATAGTGTAGTTGCATAATGATACCAGTGTCAATGTTCAATTACGTAATAAACCTGTAGCGTATTTAATACTAATTAGCAGACCAATTAGAAGAGTAATACACATGTTCCTTCCCGTGATCTACAGATAAATGCCCCTGAAAACAATAGTATATTTAACCCCTAAACCCCAATCGTATTCTGCCACCTCCCCCTTCCCATCTCTCTCTCTCTCTCTCTCTCTCTCTCTCTCTCTCTCTCTTTATGTCACTTACACTTTCCCGTAACGAGAATAGAAAGGAAGAGACCCGGGGAGGGGGATTTTTTGTGGGGGGGGGGGGGGGCGGGGGCGACAGTGGTGATGCTGATCTCTGACTTGACTTGATTTGTGTTATCTGCACAATCAGAAAGGGTGCGAAGTGAACAACTGGAATATAAAGCTTTCAACGCACCTGCCCAGTCATAAACCTTTCAATAGCAGATGATATATTTTTATATCATATATTTCATATCTTATATCTTATCACGCACACCACCTATATCATGACTGAAGAGGGTTTGGTAACGGGCGGTTTTGTATGAGAGAGAGGGAGAGGGGAAGAGAGAGAGAGAGAGAGAGGGGGGGAGACAGAGAGAGAGCCGAGAGAGAGAGAGAGAGAGAGAGAGAGAGAGAGAGAGAGAGGGGGGGGGGGGGGGAGGGGATGAAGAAAGGAAAAAAAGGACGGGGCTGCTGGTCGTTTGATTATGTTCGACTCTATTGTCCGTGGATTTTTGCTGATGTTGATCGCTTCATCACGTTTAACATTCATGAAAAGTGTATTATCAGTAAACTATGATCTAATTTACTTCCGAGTATTCAGTTCCGTAGGTGCTGAAAATATGACAAGGTATCTGCGCGCAAGAGCACCGCTTTAAACCACTGCATGAAGGGCGGGGGAGGGGGGGGGGTAATGTCATCCAACCGCAGAGTGAAGAAAGCGACACACTTAGTTTAAAATTCTGTTTTACGCTGCTGGTCAAGTTTTCTTTTTTCAAATTTCAGATTCATTGAAAATAAAAATAACAAAATCTCGAGGGGGACGGGGAAGGGGAAAATGAAGAAGAGGCACGAAGGAAAAAAATATGATATTGATTATTTGGGGACAAAATAAAAAGTAAAATACATAGATGGGAAAAACCGATTAAGACTTTAAAAAAAGGATAGATTCATGAATAAGAAAGAAGGTGCAGACGGGAATCGCGTAGAAAATGAGAGGGGCACAGAGCTAAAAAGATGGGAAGAGGACTTTAATATCAGACAGCAGAGCGAAGGAAATATGGCAGAGCTATCGAAATGTGTATTACAGTATATCAAGGACGTAATTAGTTTGTATGGACTATAGACATGACAGAAATCGAATCGCTCAATATCATTATGACCTAACCCTATAGGAATGAACAAAACAAATTTATCCTTCGTTTTGAGACCTCCTTTCGGGGTTTAGTAAGCTAAAATATCTCAAGGCTACGCTTTGAATTAAATTAGGGTAACCTTGTAAAAATCAGATCTCTAGAACAATGCGAATTTATCTTTTCTAATACTCAACGTCTCCAAAACACTTGAGACGTTTAATATCGAAAGATTGTTAAATGAATAGTAAATAAACTGACAGTGGCTTGGAGGGGGGGGGGGTGGTATCAGTCAACAATGACATAATAATTAGCAAGGCCTCTCGCTATAGGGGGTAGGAGGGGGTCCCATTGCTTTCCTTTTCTCGACCCTTTCTTATCTCTCTCTCCTTTTCTCTATTTATCTTCTTTTCTTGTTACCACCGTCATTCGATGAGAGAGAGAGAGGGGCACTTACCCCTGTGCCCTCTATAGCTACGACATTGTATATTGACACGCTTATTTACTCTTTGATAAACTCCTTGTCCGTATGGATAGCAGTGATATAACAATCATTGTACGTTAAATCAAATACTAACTGACATTGTAACCATCACAAAGACAATCAGATACTCCATAATGGTATACAAAGTCGCCCTTGATATTAATTCTCAAAGTAAATGGAATTACTCTATTTTTCTTCAGTTAATTCGTTAAACATCGACTCTCATAACGGGCAATCCTAACTATGTAATAAGTTCATATTTAGTATGGAAGAGAACAAAATGAGAGAAACAGAATGGCGAAGGTTTAAGATTAATCGGTTAAATGATAAGAGAGTTATGAATGTTTGAAATATGACATCACCGAATCTTTACGAATCTCAAATTTGGTCAATGGATTGTGACGTAGTCATCGACAACTCTCCCGCTTGGCGTGTACACACATATCATTGATTTCTATATTCTCCGAAGTGGCTTCTCCCTTGGGGCACTACTCAAAATAGATCTTTTAAAAAGAAAAGACCCACCTGAGTTATTCGTGATTTTTTTTTTTTTTTTTTTTTTTTTTTTTGGGGGGGGGGGGGGACATTTTAGTCATTATTTGTGTTGAAACTAATGGGAAAGTTGTCCGACACTACACCACAGTGACATCACCGATTCAGTCAAAATAAAGTGCCCATATACGTATAGTGATTACAACTTCAATAATTAATAACTGTCCTACTTTTTGTCCAATTTCGTAAACTTTCACCAGTCTGCTTCTCCTAGTGTTCTGCTTTCTTTTAGCATGTTTAAAATGCTTGAGACACAGAAGATACAGTCAAGAAAGCAACAATAAAAACATAGAGGGAAAAAGAAAGGGGGAGATTGCGAGAGGGAAAGGAAGATTGGAGAGGTGGTCAACTAGGAATTGTTACTGATCACCGTCTCATCACAAAAATAGGTCACATTTTTTTACAAGAAGCTTCATTGTTCAACATTACAACGAATTCAGAACAAAGGAACAACTTACTAAGAGACCTTACTCGTTGTCAACACCAACGTATCAAAAAAAGGTAGGAAAAGTAATAAAATACTGAGGAACAGCTCATCTGTGAATGTAGAATCATTAATAATTTTGGTTAAAAACTAAAGAAATATACTGATTAGCTTCATGAAAGCAGTGATAAGTAAAATTCAGTGTTAGCTGACAAAATTAGAATAAAAAAGAAATGTGTTACCTGGGTCCGCATACCACTGAGGGGGCTTAGTGACAGGGGCTCTTCTTAGGGCTGCCTCGGCCGGACGCGCTGGCTCAGGAATCTCTTCTGTCCCCTCCTCAACACTCTCATCTTGTGAGAAATATGGGGCACAGCCATGGCAAATATGGAGAAGAAAACAAGCAGTGAATATCCAAGAAAACATCGCCGCTCCAACGTTGCTCTGAGATCGACGACGAGGGTGTCGCGACGACGATGATGAGAATTTCATGATGACGTTTTGAGATGTAAAAAATACCGATAAACCGAGATGAATCTTTTTGTTTTCAGATCACAACTTTCGGGCTTGAGATTTATATGAAGACGATGTCACTCAGTGATTCGCTGTAATTTGGTTGAGGAAGCGCTCCTTTAAAAACATATTTTTTGTATTTTATTTGATGTTGGGCCCTAGTAAAAAAAAAAACTTGGAATAACCAAGCAGGCAGCTACAGACGATTCAACCACGGAAGGCTGAATGAAATTTCATTGACATAACGAGCGCTTTTATACCGTTCTGCCCTCAACGAGCTCGCGGGCTCGCGAGCGGATGCTACTGCGTAATTGTACATAGAGATATATCTGCGGCGTAGGCCAGCACAAAAATGGCGCTTGAGCCCCCCCCCCCCCCCCCCCCCCCCCCCCCCCCCCCACTAGCTTCCCGTAATAAGATCCTGTAATAACACAAAATTATATTCAACTTTACTACTTGTAGTGTGTCCAATCAAGCTGGTCTGACCTTCCTAATGTTGTTGTTCAAGTTTAATCTAGCGGTACCCTTCAGCTCATTTCTTATTTTCTTAATGGATTCATTAGACGTGGGTAAAAACTGGCGCCAATACAATTAAAGAAAAAGATAATTTGGGTCGGAAATATACCAACACTAGATACAATGGTTTGATAATATTGATCTTATATAACATTACGTAGGATTGAACATGAAATTAATCAAATTATATTCAAAACTGATAATCTATGGGAGAAAACACATGTCTGGCAATCACAACAAAGGATGGAGGATAGATAGATGGAAACGATTCAGAATTATTTTATTTCAAAATTTCAAAGACAATTATAAACATCCTGATAAAGTATCCATCGTGATACGATTCACAAATCAATGACATCGGATCTAAATTATGTTTATACTCGACAGCGCTTCAAGGCTATACGTCCTTGTTGCGAATGGATTTAGAATGCTGAATCATTTGGAACAGGTGAGCGATTGATGGAAAATAGCAAACACGTGTGTTTATTGGCAGGGGCGTAACCACGGGGGATATGGGACCCCCCCCCCCCCCCCCCAAAAAAAGAAAAAATAATAATTGGAGAAAACAAAAATAAGGGGAAAGAAAGATATTGGAAAGGGAACGTGGAAAAAAGACGCACCCCCCCCCTTCCGACACACACCCTCCCCACAAGGGTCTCGATTTTCGTTATTTCATCAAGCGAGTGAGATCGTGGTGCCTCCCCTCCCCCTCCTCCATGATTCTGTTACGCCCTAAATATCTATAGATACGCTACATCCCTGAACTTCGATAAATTGTTCTTTTTTACCAGATGACCCTTGCTCTCTCTTCCTTCAGTTTGACACTTTCGTCCGTCATCCTCATGCTCTACCTGACTAACGTAATTAAACCGTTTCGAAATTAATTACATCCCCCAAACGGCCACTCATTATTCTCTCCATTATGCTATGGCGATACCACAATCTGATTGACTGATAAAGACAGTTGTAAATAGTCACTCAAGTAGCTTCTAATTGTACTTGACTGGTTCTATTTACCTTTTGTGTTGTATGATTAATAAGATTATTCATTATCCAGGGGCGTGTTGAAATGTATTAAGGTGATTTTGAGATGCGTCGTTTATTGGTGAAAAAAGTTTGTCATCAATCGAAGTAGTCTTGGCACGCATGTTTCTTTTACGATGGCAAGAATAATTAACTATTCACAAGGCTAGAAACTAGAACACATGGATGTTGTCGTACTTCTTCCTCCTCCAGCTCCACCTCCTCCTTCTTCTCACTCTCCTACTCATTATCATCATCCCTTATCATCATCATCATCATCATCCTCAGATCATAATCTTTAATATCATCATCATTATCATCTTCATCATCATCGTCGTCATCTTCGTCATCGTTATCTTCGTCACCATCATCATCATCATTATCATCATAATCATTATCATAATCATTCTCGTCGTCATCATAACCATTATCGTTACCATCATTTGTAAATATAATATATCATTATTATTATCATCCTCATCATCATCGTCGTCTTCATTCAATATGATTTGACCTACAATAGCCAGCTAACATAACATGAGTATCAACCCGCCCCGGAAAGATTTGTCAACTGTCACAACACTCCTAACAGCCATAACGAAACAATAATACGTCACATCTCACACAAGACAGAAACTAGTCAAATCAGGCGTACACAAACGAATGTTTTATTGCCCTTTTCAACCGCCTCCCCCCCCCCCTGAAAAAAAACACAACAACAACCTATGTTTAATGAAGAATGTTTAATAAAGAAAATAAAATATGTATTTGTTTATTTAAATGGGATATAAATGCATAAAATCATCAAATTATTTCCGAGTTCTCACTGTTTTGAGGGGGGGGGGGGGGGGTTAACCCAAAAAAAGAAGATATCCGACCAACCGACCCAAGTTCTGGCACCTAAAGGCCGATACAACATCTTTTTTTTTTTAGGCCTCATGCATTATGGGTGAGTTTTGTCAAGGCTTGATGACGGAGACTACAGTCGCGTGCCGTGTCATTCATACACCGTCTCTTCGTCACGTGTATACGCATCGTCACAAAAGGCTTGACAGCAAACTTGATATTGAGATTTAAGAAGGTCACGTAACTCCTTACGTCATTATGAAGGTCGTATGGTGTTCACTAGAGTTCTGTGTCATGCTTTTGCTTTAACGGTATAAATTAAGACAGAAGTACATGTACAAGCCATCGCCTGATTGGCTTGAAAATGGGGAAATTCTGGTAATAATTTAAAGCCAAATGCATGATATAACCCCAGATTCTACAAATTAAAAGTTGTGATAACGCAGAGTGACAACTTAAAGGCCCACTGCACTACTCGTAGCTACTTGCGCCCTCTTACAACAAACAATGCCTAATCGGTGACCATTGGTCCCCCATGATCCTCTTTTTCTTATGTTAACTGAGAGCTGAGTTGATGAGATAACCACCTGTCCAGTGACCTTGCAGGGCGCTCTAATCCCTCCTGTAAACTATGGCAGAAGCTTAAAGTCCTTAAAAAAAAGCGTAGCTGAGAGGGTGTGACCACCCCCCCCCCCTCCATTGAAAGACGGGCGAATATTGATAACGAGAGAAAGGTTATTAAAGAGGGAAGGGGAGGTGTGTTGAGAGTAATTTCTTTTTATGTCTGGAATTCAATGAATAATTGAATTTGTCTTTGAATTAATCGGAGTAAAACCGGTGCCCATCCCCTTCATGGATTCTTGTGCCCCTTTCATAGTTGAACCCACGCTATTTCACTGGCTACGCTGAAAAAGATAAGATTTATGACATGATTTTAATGTCTGAATGTTCTTGTTTATTTTTAACTTAACGACCCGCGTGGGGTATACACACATCAGCTGTAGAGCGAGGGTGGTACTAACTTTATTTTCGGGATGGTTCTGAATTAAATTACATTCGTTGTCATGAAAACCTTTTTCAATTTCTGCCCAAGAAATAATGAAAGCATTTGGATTTTACAAATTAAATTGTAACACGAAATAAAATATTCTCAGAGTAAAAGACCGTCGATTAAACTTGACCTCAGGGGAGGGGGCGCCGTTTTGGGGTTAGTGACCCCAATCCCTACACACGACATTCAAATCGTTTACCCTGGTGGTTATAATTTCAGAAAAAAATATCCTCCAACCCTGAAGGTGCATGGTGCGCCCTCATTCCTATCCCCGACAATGTGTTAGCCCATATTAGCCTAGTCATTAACCTATATTATGTTATCAATCATGACAATGACCTTTAATTGAATCATGTAGTTGTGAGACAAATCGTATGTGAATACATAACACGACACAGGGATGCATGCGGTGTTGCTATCGAGTTTGATATACAGCTGGGTTGTCAGAAGAAAATAAGTATCATCATTCCATAAACATACGACCCTTCAAAAAGATAGAGGTCTTATCTGAAAGACTGAAACATCAAATGCACGTGCTCATGCAACGTGAAGGTAAAAAGACACAGGTGCGATTAGAGACGAATATTTGTTTAGGAGGGGGGCTTGAGGTTCTTGCATTTATACGCTACATGTGCCTCACTTCAATTTTATTCGTGTATGACAGCACCCTGCTACACGTTCCTAGAACATACACCAAAGCTGGAAACAATGCTTTCCATGCATGTGCTCCTCGACTCTGGAATGAGCTTCCACTTTTTTTTCGATTAGCACCTTCGCTGGATTTTCCGAAATGTCTCAAAACTCTCCTCTTTGACCATGATCAACAATATATTCTTTGATAACTTTTATGTAAAGCGCTGTTAAACAACAGTTAGTTTGTAAGAACCCTATAGAAATGACTTTATTGTATTGTATTGTATTGTATTGTATTCAAAATTAATCATCTTTGATGGAAGGGTCTTTCTTGAAGGGATTTTAGAGCTTGAGCCCCCAAGCTCACCTCAAAAAATTTCTACACTGGTATTTCTTTTAATCCAAGGCGGTCGAGTTTACCAACGAAATAAGATTAGTTAAATACTTATATTAACTAAGATAAAACGATAAGAATCGAGGGGTCATTGACTGATGTCACGAATGAGGGATTTTCGAACACGTGTTGAATCTACCTTTTCCGTTTATCATTTTTGAAAGCTAGATTTCGGCCTATTCCTATAAAGTGAGATATATCAATAGCCGTGCGTGGATTTAGGGTTTAAAAAAAGACAACACATGTACCATGAGTATTATTCTTGATTTTATTTTTCAGTGAAATATTCGCGACTTGACTTAATTGACTTGATATAATTGTGACTTAATAAAAAGTCGATTCTTCAAACTTTCATTCAATGGCATAAGTTATGGTACAATATATTTTGTTTGTTTTCTTCCAAATTCATAAGAAAATATTAAAGGTAATACAAAGTTTTGGTATGGGGCCATGAATTTGGTTCGAATGAACTGAAGCATATGCGATCCTACAATATGCAGTGATCGTTGTCGCGGTTGAAATCGAGTCTAAAGTTATGAAATTGTAAATAATAAACTCTTTATGTTGTATAGCTCCCTCTCAAGGTCAAAATATTAATTAAGCCATAAAACATTGTTTCTTGACTTAAATCAACCGATTGGCTATTCCCATTTGGAAATTATATATTACAACTACATATTCTGAGATTTTCATGGTCGCAGCTATGGCCGAAAGCGCTATTTGAAGTTTATCAAAATTTACCG